TGTGTGTGTGTGACTTTAAAAGTTTGGTTTGCATGGCTGTGATGATAATCTAGAGTGCTGGAAACAAGCAAGTGATATGATTGGTGAGTGACAGAGAGGGGGGAGGGGTTTTGGAATGGACGCTGTGTGGATGATTGGAATGTCTAACAGGGGTGACTGTTGGGGATATGACAGTTGATGCAGACAGTGGAAGTTAGTTAAGCAGTTTTGTCCTGAGGTCTCTGTGAGAGAAGTTTTCCTGTGTGGAATATAAGAGTAAAAGTCTCTGTGTTAAGCAGACGGTTAAGTTCTGTGTAAGAGAGGAGAGACCCATCCCTGTGTAGGATGAGTTAGTTCATTATATGCAAGAGTGTTACTAAGTATATGCATAAATCCCTGAGAGATAGCTGAAAGTGCTGTGCCTTGACAGTGTGAGAGAGAAAGGAGCTTATATCTGTAAAGTGAATCTACAGTTCTTAAAAAGAGTCAAAGTTACAAAGAGTGTGATACAGTTGACCTAAAGTACTTACAAATACCTATTTCCAAAACAGTTACAGTTTAAACAACTTCTTACTCTGTTCTTCAAATAAATCCTTTTTATTTAAGTTTATCCCAGAAGTCCATTTTTCCTCAGGAAACACATAGTTCCTCGAAAGCCCAGACCCTGGGTCACAATACCAAAACCAGAAGAAGAAAGTATAAAGGTTTGGAAAGCCTAAAATTTCCTGGTGGCAGCCAGATTACCCAGTAGAGCAAAATATAAAGAACGGTTTTAAAGTAAAACCAGACCTTCCCAGAGAAGAGGTCGTCACAGGCTACATTAGGGGTGTGTTGCGTAAAATGCAAAGAAGTTCCAGCTACAAAAAGAGCCCTGCCCAGAATTGCAACTGATGTCCAGACTACAGAGATCAGTTTCCCGGGAGAAAACGGAGGGTTTGGGGGGGTGAACTCTATGACATCATACCCCACTGAGGTCCCTGTCCTCCCAGGCTCCATCCCCAAATCTCTAGGAATTTCCTATCCTGAATCTGGCAACCCTTCCCCACAATTCCACTTGTGACCCAGAACAACCTGGCAACTCTAGATGAGATGCCCGTCACAATTGCTTATATATATCATTAGTGTCAGGGCTTTTTTTTGTGGGAAAAGCCCAGCAGGAACTCATTAGCATAATAGGCCACACACAACAG